CCTACTCCCTAGTTCTTCTACACAAAAATGAATATTTTTTTTTTAAAAAACCTCTCTGAAAAATGTTTGAGCAAACTAAGGGGCACTATGAGCTGCCTACCGAGAGCTCTGGTATAAAAAAGAGCTTTTATACCTACTCCCTTTGCCAATAATTGCTTCAGACCAGAGAAAAATGATGGAAAGTCTTCTGGAGAACTTCTGAAAAAAAGTATCACAGCTTTTAAGAGACTCAAAAAAGAAATAATGTCTTACTGCCTCTGGTCAATCACTTATCTGCAACAATGTGGTGTAGTAACTGATGACACCAAGAGGTCCAACACAGATTGGCTATGAGCAGGACCATGAAATAATTGCAGTATTTCTTGAGCAGAAATTTAACCAACGCGCAGGACTAATTTTGTGTAATGAGACCACAGATTCCCTTACATGTAAGCCATTTTGAATGGTACTTTCTGTTTGCTGCAACCCAAAGAATCCTAAATAATACCTCTTTGGAAAAGCAACAGGACCCTGATTCTCCAAGATCACCCTAACAACAAAGGAATAATTACTTCAAAAAAGAAAAGAGACTAAGATTTATTTTTCAGTTAAGTGTTTGGGAAAACCAGCTGTGAAAAGGTGTTTTTAATAGACACTCCTGATGTATAGTGAGTCCTTTGAAATTCTCCCGAGCAGCATAAACACTGTAATAAAGTTACAATGATCCAGTAAGAATGGTATGCGTGGGGATATACAACATACTTAGAATCATCATGATATGTAAACATTTGAACTACCATGAAATTAGTCTTTATTACTCATCTACTCTTATTTCTTCTGCAATTATAAGATTGGGAATTTTTTTCTTGTTTTCTGCTCTTTCTACCTGATGAAAACACAGAATCACATTATCAGAACGGAACTCAAAACACTGATACTTAGAGAGGTTGAATGATTTCCACAAGATCTTAGAGTTAGCTAGGGACAGTCTTCTTTATTACCAAAAATGCTTTATGCATGACTTTTATGACAAAGTCATTTGCTGAAAAATCAATTTAATGCAGAGTTAATTTTAAAGACATGGGAAATCAAAACCAGATTTATTTTATTTTATTGGTAATTAGTTATGAAAAGAAAATCTTTTTGAACTCTCTGCTTTGAGTTTCCTCTTCCTGTTTCAATCACCAGTCTAAATCCCAATCCAGTCTTCTCAATACTATTTCTTTCTCCTAGAAAATCCCCCCATAGAGTCCATTCCCTGGGCCAGAGGTTCTCAAAAGAGTATGTGTATCATAATTACCTATGAAATAAACCAGAGGTGCAGATTCCCAGGCAGAATTGGATTTAGTAGACCTGGGTGGGACCCAGCAATGTCAATGTAAACAAGCACCCCAGCTAAGTCTAACTATGCTTTAAGGCACATGACTCCAGACTGAATCCTAGCTCTAAATAGAAAACATCTAATTATCATAGTAGATTTAAGCTGAAACAACAAAAATATGTGCATAGTTGCCTATAATTTTTATGTTCCTTCTGAGGCCTGAAACCAACCCAAGAGTTTTGCGATTTGGATGCACCCTGGTAAATTGTTTGGTTTGGAGTTTTTATCCTTCCCTCACAAGACTTTTTTTCTCATTTTGAATGCACTTCTACTTGGGATTAAATACAAAATGTCTTAACTTTTTCTCTACAGTTAGGGAAATCAATTTTGAAGTGTTTCAAAAGGGTAATTTTAAAAATACACAATACAAAATACCTCCCTTTTGAACCAGTTGCCTGAGATGCACAGGACAAACACAGCAGGTAACAAGAGAAGTAAACACTAGCAGAATCAGCCCTGAAACCAAAACTTAGGAAGGAAGCTGACCATTAAGTAAGTGGATCAAGAAACAATAGCTCAGGCATATCCTAGGGTAAGTCTGAACCTGAGAAAACTGGAATGAAACAAATTCCTTATTCCAAGTTAACTTTCCCTTACTGCTTGCTTTTAAAATAGGACAGAGCTGTAAATGAGAATATAGAGTTTAAGTGGAATCTTAGAACTTCTTTGAGTGCCAAAGAATTTCTTCAAACTTAAATACTTCTCATTGGATTCAGCAACACTCGTTTATACCCATCTCCTCCAAAGCATTTTAAATTTAGAGGCTCCAGGGACCAAAAACATGACATGCTGATAACTTGAATCTATGTTCTAACACCAGCTCTGAACAACTTACACCTATAGGCATGAGAGCTTGTCTACGTGTTGGTATCTTGATGAATAATGGAACAAAGTAGGGTCCTCCCTGGTGGTGTTAAGCACTGCACTATGAAGCAATCTGCAGCCTCTGTAGCACGAGTTGATCCCAGGCCAGCCAGAGAGCAACCCACATGACGAAGCAGACCTCTCTTGACTCGCCCGCTGCTCCTCTCAGCAATATATTTCAGTCAGTCTGCCTGTTGTGTTCCCCACTCTGTCCTTGGTGAGAGGTCACTCCCTGCATCTCTGGCCTGTACCCCACCCAGCTCTTTATGCATAAATAAATGAATCTTAAAAAAAAAAATAATGGCGGGCCTCCCCAGTGGTGCAGCAATTGAGCGCTGGGTTGCGAAGCTGCCTGCAGCCTCTGCAATGCCGGTTCGATCCCCAGCCTCCAGCGAGGGTACCACATGGCACACAGTCCTCTCCTGCTGCCCGCTGCTCTCCTCAGCAGTGTACTTCGTCAGTCTGCATGCTCTGTTCTCCCCTCTGGCTCTGGTGAATTCTCTCACCCTCTCGCACTTCTGACTGTACACAGTGCTTGTATAAATAAATAAATAAATCTTTAAAAAAAATAATAATGGAACAAAGGAATGCCATAAAACCAAAGAAAATCAGTCAAGTATGAAAGAGAAGATCCAATGTTCCAGAAATGCCATGGAAAAAAATAGTAACTCTAGCAACCAAAAAGTTTGAATTGTTCAAAAGGCAAAAAGTCAAGGTCACAGCCATAACTTGCACACTCTAGTACCACTAATCTTTGGGGTAGGAACAAAGATGAGCTCAACTTAATGGGGTTGGGAGAGGACAAAATGGAAAAAGAGGGAGAAAGTGAACCATATACCAGGAGATGGGACATTTACAAGCCCAACAGTTCAAGATCCATCACCCTTATTATTATTATTATTATTTTTTTTTTACATCATTGTTCATTTTTAAACAATATTTTCTTCCACCACCCCCTCAGGTGTAGTCCCCATAGAGTTTCCTTCCCCAATGCACCCGTGCACCATCACCTCAGTCCCCTGTGCTCCTCCCTCCCTCCCTCTGATCCCTCTCCCTCCTCCTCCCCTGCAGGATGTCTCTGATTTATAATTGTCTGTCTTTGCTTTGTTGTGTTTTGTAATGTTATTATTTTTTTTACACTGATATCTTACTTGGTTTCCCCTATATTCCTGCTATGAACATCTGTACCCCTATGTTTACTGCAGCACTATTTACAATAGGTAAAACCTGGAAACAACCCAAATGCCCAAAAATAGATGACTGGATCAAGAAGATGTGTTACATATACACAATGGAATATTATTCAGCAATCAAAAAAAGATAAACTCATGCCATTTGTAGCAACATGGATGAAGCTAGAAGGAATTATGCTCAGTAAAAATAAGCCAGAAGGAAAAAGAAAAATATCAGATGGTTTCACTTATTATTATTTTTGAAGATTCCTAACAATTCTTAGGACATTTAAAAAATGGCAATATTCCATACTGGTTCTGCTGCATCACCATTTACTCTTGGACTCTCTCAGTTCAATTAAGCTCACATTACAATGGCACAGCTTGAAAAGACTGACTGCTTTCAACTGGTTCCCATTCCTTCTGCAGCAGCTCCCAGCAAGCTTGGATGTCTCCATAAGGCAAAAAGCATCATGAATGTCCCCACACATGCTCAGCTGGAGTGTACCTGGAGATTCCTCTGTTTTGATGCAGGTCCCACAAGGGTGTAAAGTTTTGCAACTAAGATCTCAACCAGCTTTTCTGTTTAATGAATGCCTAAATGGATTATATGGAACAGGCACTGAACTGCCCTCTCAGAGCATCTGGAGTTATTTTTAAAGCCCAGCTCCCTTTATTTTGAACATTTTAAATATATTTTATCAGGATTCTTCGACTACTTTGGGCACTTTCCTTGAGAACTTGTGCATTCTTTGCCATGACAAGGTGAGAAAAAAAATTGACCAGTAATAGAGCTACCCTTGCCTAAGGCTAATTGCTTCTAATCAACATGCAAAACATGCTTGTCTCTTTATAATTAAGACCTATGGAAATGTTTACGGTGTTTCTCTCTCTCTCTCTTTCTTGCTCTCTCTCCCCCATCTCTCAAAAGGTAATTATGAAGTGCTTGCAGAAACATGAAAACAAATCATCATCTCACTCATCAAAGTATCAATTTATCCCAGTGACTTATTGGCATGAACAAAATATGGGTAAGGACCCAATTAGAACATTTCAGTTCAGTAAAACAACATAGGGCTTCACGAACTGTTATACTGTCTTTTCTTTTGCTCCACTCTAGTTAAGAACATTCATCAAAGTCCATGGAAGGTGAGAATATTTACACACATATAATGACTGATGCAGCAAGGGAAATCTAGGGCTGGTTAGGTGGCTTGTTAAGAAGTCAGCTATAGAATCCAACTTTTTTGACTCCAAACCCAAAATCTATAAATCCACAACATATCCCTACATGCCCTTGACCATCACAAGAATATATACCCCCTGAAAACTCTGCATGGTGACCTGTATCATGGACTGCAAACTTCTATTTACCCTGAAAATTCAGCCTGATGGCCTGGGCACTTCCCCAGTCTCCTCTGCAAACCATCTGGCATTTGTCACTGTTAACTGAAGCAGCCAACATTTCACACATTTCACTAAGCCTGCAGCATCCTTGAAACGAGAGTGGGAGAGGGAACCATAAGCAAAACCGAGATCACCTTTAATATAAGAATAAGAACTTCCTAAGGTGAAAAAGAACCAGCAATCAGTCTTAAACCTACTTTGCTAAGTGGTTCATGAGCAGCTGTAACATCTGCCTATTTTTCTCTGGGAGGCGATGAACAAGGCTGTGGATTTCCGAGACCCGAGATTCCTGGTTCTCCAGCTCTGCAAAGGAAGGAGAGAGGTAATATTTGAGAAGTTTTACAGCTAAATCCGCTTACAAGACAAAAATCAAAGGAAACCAAAGGTTGGGCACTAATAAAATGAGTCTTTTTCAAAAGTTTCAGATGCTGTTGTGTGCACTCATGATGAGTAAGGCTAGACCTAGAAAAGCTTTGAATGGTGCTTTCTGTGACAGAGTTCATCCAAATGACGTCTATCAAGAAATACAAGCCAGAATGATGACATGAGGAAACGGAGCCAGTCAAGTGCACACTCAGAGCAGGAACAAACTTGGGAGCAGAGTGATGGCTTCATTTCAAGGAAGGAAAGAACTTTATGCACTCATCAAGTGATAAACAAATCACACATGAATAACATCACAAGGGTTTCAAATATCAAAATAACACCTGAAGACAGTCTCAAAGAATTCAAAGGAGATTCCCAGTTGTTTTCCAATCATTTTGACAACCAAACTGGTGGAAGAAAGTAATTGCAGAAAAAATATGTCAATCTTTCTGTCAGCCTAAAACCTAAATTGTGGCCTGTCACGTTCTCTTGGATGAACTTGGGTAAGTGGCTCCATTTCCTAGGGAAATAGATTGATAGTGCTCACCACACCTATTTATAGAAGTGATGTGTGGTTTAATTAGAGAATGGTTGCCATGGGCTTGGAATTTCTCTGAGAAAGAAGTCACATAAACACTATCTTCACTCCCAGCTTTCTCCATGTCTTTTTCATTCCCATTTGAAGGGGACAACTATGAGTAAATAAGGCCACCAGAACATCAGTACTACTAAAATAGACTAGGAGTAGCCACCAAGGTGAACAAACTCTAAAGGCTTAAAGGAAGCAGGGAGAGGAACAAGCAATAGACATTTACAACACTGTAGGGATTCATGCCAGATTTAAATGTTAAGGGAATCTTACTGCCCCTTATAGGAGAACTGCCCCATGTAGACAGATTCCAGGACACTTAGGATAGCCTGCACCTAATCCCTGTGTATTTTAATACCAGTAATTTGACACTAGGGACCTGGATGATACAGCTGAAGAATGATCAGAAGCTGTAAATGGAAGCCATGATGGAAAGACTAGTAAGTTATATAAATGGTGTTGTATTCAGTGAAACACTTCTCAAGCTCAACTTAGGTAATGTGCCATGTCTGATTCATTCTGCAAAATGCTACTCAAGGGCTGGGAAAAAAACCAGGGAGTTAGAACTCCAGCAATCAAAATTAGAAACACAAACTTGCTTTCTCTTTTCTTTCCACCCCACCCCTCCAAAACCAAAAAACGAAAAAACAAACAAACAAAAACACCTCTGAAGTTTTTCTCCTCTTCTGTGAATGCAATGCAGGAGCAAGGACCTTAGCAATCCTAGTGTGGTTTCACTTTTATTTTGTGTCAGTTTCATGAGTGCAAAATGTGGGTAGTTTATATGTAGAATACAAAAGGTTAGCTAATATTTATTTTGGGATACTGACTGTTCTTTGAAATAGAAAAAAAACTATTCGCTTCCCCCTAAAACTGTGACAAAATAGAAAACTTACTTGCTGCTTTGATGAAACTTCTTTGAAACTGGTACATCATGAGTGGTCCTGGAAGCATTCTGAAATGAAAGGATATACACTATTTAGCGCAATAGAACATAATCATATGCTCTCTAAATAGCAGCCTAGTGACTGCCAAACTATATTACATTTCTCAAAGACAGAGATCACAGGGAAACAACAGCTACTAAACTTAGTTCAACTTAGTTTCCCTATTGAAAGGGTTAGGAGATTACACCTGAAATTTTCAATTTCTCTCTCCTTTAAGGGAATGGATATAACCAGGAAATTGCTAATGCAAAAAGTCTAGCACTAACCAAGAGATTTCCTTTTCAGTCAGTGACTCACCCATCAACAAGACCATTTTAAGATGTATCTGAGAAACAGGCAACTAACTAAACATTTGCAATGATTACTTTTGCTTAAACTCTCATCTTCCCAGGAGCTTGTTATTAAAATTAGTTCATCTGGAAACACAATGAGTGACTTTTGTAGGTGTTTTTGTGGTGAATCACCATGGAGTAGTGCTCAGGAATGCCAAAGGACTAGAGCTCCCAATATTAGGCATGAAGAAAATGAAAATTTACCTGCTTTTTAAAAAAATAGATTTTACACTTCCTGTTTATTATCTAATCAATGTCAACATGCAAAAGTAAGCATTAAATACAAAAAACTATAAATACAAAAATCTATAAAATAGTTTTGTATAAATGACAATACTTGGGGTATAAATATGCTTAGCGTAGATGTTTAATTTTAAACCAGTTTTTTTTTTTTCCTGATAGTCCAAATAATAAGCTTCTCTACAGTCCATACATTATTCTTGGCTGAGATATATTTTATTTCTCATTGAGTGCCCTAATTCTACTCTTAGTCATCACTGGCATTACATCTTCGTATTCACTTTAGAGCTTTACATCAATTTCACAATAGCCAATAAAACCTGAATCATCACTTCCCTTTCTGTGACTTTCTTCCTTTATTTTCAAGTCAAGCAATCTTCATAAAATGTGTACAAATGTTTATGAAATTCATGATTTCAGTTTTCCTCTTCAAGACTAGATCCTACCTTCCTATGTAAGAACTACAGCAAAGAACCGTAATAATTCTACCTTTCATAAATTTCAGTCTATGAAACAGATGTAGGCAGCTAGTCAGTCACCCACTCCCTTAAATAGGAGAGGGGTAGAAAGGTGACAGTGATATCACATATATTTTTACAAAGACAACAGTCTTCTCTCTAATAAAGTACTATTTTTCAATCTAAGTTGAAGAATTCAAAGGGAATTTCTTCAAATGGTTATTTTTAAGGAGCAATGTCAACAATATACTCTATCTGCACAATGTACAAAACTATCAAAATAAATAGGGTATATGACTATGCAATATCAACAGAATGGGACACAAGATTTCTTACTCTTTTAATAGATTTGTCGGAGATTTCAAGGAATACCGTGTTTTAGGTTCTGTTAAAGGTTAATTACCACAGACGCTTCTCATAAAGAAAGAGCTGAGCTTCCGAAGTCGTTCCTGGCACCACTGCACAATGGCAACCGGTTGTAAGAATGGATAACTTACAATTGGCCTGACCAGCTGAGCTAATTGCACCTACACATAAGCTGTTTTCACATCTCAAACACCCACCCAACAGCTCTCTGGAGGCTGAAAATAAAACTGCTTTCTTCCTGATTGCCTGATAACAAGCTGGCATCCTGCCGGCAAATGGAAAGTCCCTACCTTAGGTAGGTCTTCAAAGCACTAGTAATGGTCTTTATCTCCCATTCGGCACAGATATCCGTTTCTGTTTCAGAAGCTGTTTTGGGGTCTACAACAAGGAAAAGATAAAGTGTAAAGCAGAGCAGAAAATACCACTAAAAGCAATCATAGTAAAACCATTTGACCTTACTACTAAGCAAAGAAATCCAAATTAAAGCAAAAATGATTCCTATTTTCTACCTATTAGGAAAATGCTTAAAAATCCAAATATCTATAGCTGGCAAGAATCCAGAAAAACTGATCCTCTAGTAAACTGTTAGAGGCAGTAGAGACTAATGCAACTATTTTGAAAAGCAATTTGGTAATATGTATATTGACACATAATAGTATTTATACCCTTTGAACTGGTAATTCCACTTCTCACAATCTATCCTCAAGAAATAAGGCATAAGAAAAGTAATATATCCCCTCAAATGTTCCACACACACAATTCTTTGAAACAGTAGAAAAAGATTTTTAAATGTCTAATGATAGAAAAATAATTATGGTAAGTCTACCTGGTGGAATATGCTGAATGGAAATTGTTGTATTTACACTATAATGATGATTACATAAAAACATGGAAAATGGCTGGATTATCTTGCAATGTCAAGCAAAAAAAAAAAAGAAAAAAAGTAAGTTTCTGAGAAACTCGCATGAACCAAGGCTGAAAGGAAATACACTAAAATTAAAATAGAGGTTGGGTTAGACTGGTAGAATTGTGGTTTTTATATTTTCTAAACTATGACTTGATTCCACTGCTTATATATTTATTTTAAATTGCCTAAATCCAGGAAATGCAATGAGAACCACCATAAATGTATCAGTTATTGGTTATTTCTTCTTGCTTCCTCTTGCATGGATTTTTTTTCTCTTCATTTTTTATTGAAGCAACAGTAGTTTATAACACAGGTTCCAGGTACACAGTATTATACATCAATATCTATATAAACAGTAGTTTATAACATTAGGTTTTATTGAGGCAACAGTAGTTTATAACATAGGTTCCAGGTACACAGTATTATACATCAACATCTATATAAACAGTAGTTTATAACATTAGGTTTTATTGAGGCAACAGTAGTTTATAACATAGGTTCCAGGTACATAGTATTATACATCAACATCTATATAATTGATATTCTGATCACCACCAAAAGCCTAGTTTCCATGCTTTACCATATAAATGACTCCTTTTACCTAATTTCCCCACACTTATTCCTCCTTCCTTAGGGGTAATCACCATTTTGTTCTTAGTGTGTATGAGTTTGTTTTTGTCTTATTTAGTTTCTTTATAAAGAAACTAGATGTTTAGTCACTGTGTGTATTTTAAATGTGTATTATGAAAGAAGAACGGATTTTTCCTTACTAGCACACAGGCAGGTGAGAATAAGATAGAGGCTGGGGAATATGAGTTGCTTCACAAGTCAGCAGAATCCCATCTTATTGTTCTGAATTAGAGTCTTAAAGAGCACTGAGGGAGAATCCAGTTTCTTCACACTAAAAGTCTAGTGATATGTCTCCAGCTCACAGTCCCTTTTCTTTCTGCACAGCACCCCCCTTGCTATTGGGCTGCTGCCTTTCCTTATTTCTATTCTAGTGTTTAGGTAGGAATGAAATTCAGGATGGATGATTCAAAACACAGCATCTGTCTGAACCCGAGGGTTGGTTCAGGAATTGTCAAAGACATACCCGGTTCAATCAGAGTGAGCTGCAGGACTTATCCAGAGATAGAGGGAAGGATACCTGCTGTTTCCTGCTGGGTTCGCACATGGGCGATTATGCAACTGCTCTGGTTCAGCACTCAGATTCTGAGAGTCAATCTGACAGACAAGGGCAGAGATGAGAGAAGCAGGAGAGTGGGTTTTGATGACATGATTTCAATGCTTGTATCTGGCCATGAATTTTTTCCATTGCAGTATAATCGACATATAACATACTAGGTTTAGGTGTATACAACAATGATTTGGTATTTGTATAGCTTATTTAATCAGGGGATCAATAAATATCCTTTTTCCTTAAGCCAGTTGAGGTCAGGATTTTTACAATCCAAAGATATCTAAATAATACAGCAAGTAAACAGAGAGAGCTATCAGACTCCTGGACAATCTCCAAGAAGATGTTCCTCCCACAGGACCAGCAGTCTTTAGTGGAAAAGGAAAATGAATCACAGGTGGGTACATCTTCCAGTTACTGGGAAAGAATCTACTTTCCTCCCAATAGGAAAAGGACAAATAGTCAGGCTCTAAACCTCAATTAAGAGCACAAATCAGGTTGGGACCTAACATGCTCAGTATACCCCACTAACACATTTTGGGAGATAAGAGAAGGGGCCCAGTTCATAAAACATTTGTCTTCCAAAGGCAGAACTTTTATGTGAAGTTTGCGGACTACCCAACAATGTCTGTGTTGTCGCATCAAACAAATAAGGAACCTAAGGAGCAGGATTTTATTTCTAGGACTACAGAATGTTAAATTCCATAGAGTTCTAGCATAGGAAGTATTTGAAAAGTCAATAAAATCTAATTTTCCAAATATCCAAAACCTCTGCACTTTTAATTCTTTTCTTGTTTTGCCATTTTACACTTTCTTAATGGCTTCTTCTTGCATAAGCATATGTCACAAAAACTCTCCTTAGAGTGAACTTTTCCTGTCCCCAGCCCCAAGATTCATGGAGAACTGCCATACTGCATGATTCCTGGATGTGAGACAAATGTTACTGTACATTTTTCTGATGAATAAACGAACTTCTACCCAAGAAGGGCAAACATGACACTAAACAAGCAGCAGTTGGCAGGTCTGGGAGTTGTGAACTGTTCCATGAACCACATTTAGCAAACTAATGATTAGCTTCCACTTATTTGAGCTCTGTAACCATAGAAATATTGTGAAACATTACAGAGAGGAGAGTCAAATTACAGCCTGGCTATGGGGCTTTTTATAGCACTGATGAGGCAAGGCTCATAACTTGAGAATGTCCATTTTAATTCATTTAATATCCAAACTAAATTGAACACGGCCTCCCAAGCCAGTCCACTTTTGGAAAGCGCTGCCAATTTCTACACCTTCCTACCAATGCTCCCCTCATTTAAAGAAGTTTCTTGGTAGCATCTTGACATGATACAGAGACATAATTCACCATTTTCTTTACAACTTAGTACATTTCTTCTCACCATGTCACTTGACTATTATAGTACTTAGTAAAAGTTATCTAGAGTAGCAATCCAATATACAAAATGTCCTCATGTTGGCAAAGAGAAAAAATAAAAGTTGGATACTGTATTTCTTCCTCAACTTACTCCCACATGAATTTATTCAATAGAAAAATAGGAGACACAGATTGGAAGCAGTGGTTATAAGGGGAATGTCACACAGGATCACTCGTAAGATCTATCTAGTCCACTTCTGTGTTGCTGACAAAAAAAAAAAAAAAAAAACTAAAGTTTTGCTGGAGGAAATGATTAGAAAAGTCACCTATGTATTCTCAACTTCCATAATAAGACAAAATACAAATTAAAATTTTGTGATAGATGGATATATAGATAGATACAGATGTATAGATATATACTGAAAAGGTAAGACTTTCCTGTGCCAATACGCTGGCTAAACCGGTGTGTGTGTGTGTGTGTGTGTGTGTGTGTATGTGTACATGCATATGCGTGTGCTATCTCTAACAGGGTATGTATGAATGGATAAGCACATATGACTCTACATACACATTTTTACAAACACAAATAGAAGCATACTATGATGTTACCTGCACTTGGCTATTTTCATTTAACAATATCTTTAAAAGCTGTCCCATATTAGTACACAGTTATATCTACCTCACAGTATTTCACTACTTTAATTTTATGTGTCCATTAATGGAAATTGAAATTGTTTCCTGATTTTTGCTATGATAAACAATGAAAACACCAGTCTTTCCTTGCACATGTCTTACCTGTAGAAAAATTCCCCTGAGGGAATTTGTTTCCTTGGGGCAATTACAAAAAGTATATGCATTTTAAAATTTGAAATATACTGCCAGAGTGACTCCTTCCCCAAATCCTTGACAACATGTAATCAAACACTTCGACTATAATCAGTCAGATAGGTTAAAAAAAGGTTATCCATTTTAACTTGAAATTTTTTTAACAAGGTTGAAGGTTGAGACTTCTATATTCAAAGTCAAGTTCAATGTGCACTTTTTAAGTGCACAGTTCCATGATCTTCGACAAATATATATTGTCACATAACTACCACCAAAATCAAGATATGTCATTTCTGTCACCCAAAAGAGTTCCTCTATTGCTTATAGAGTCAATTCCTTCCCTTAACCTCTATCCCTCATAAACCACTTTCAAATACCTTTAAAATCCATCCATATTATTGCAGGTATAGGTAGTTCAATCCTTTAATGGATATGGCATATCTTTATGGCTATGACACAATTTGTTTATCCATTCACATGCTGATGAACATTTGGGTTGTTTTCAGTTTTTGGCTGTTGTGCATAAAGATGCTATAAATATTTGCATATAAGTCTTTATATGGACTACGTTTTCATCTCTTGGATAAATACCTAGAATGGAACTGGGTAAAAATATGTAGGAGTGGGTCATATGGTAAGTATATTTAACTTTATCAGAGACTGCCAAATTGTTTTCCAAATCAGTTGGGTGATTTTACATTCCCACCAGCAATGTGAGAGCTCTTGTTGCTTCACATTTTCATGATATGATGGTGTGTTTAATTTAGAAACCTCATTTATGCTAGTAAGCATGCAGAAATATCTCATTTTTTAAAATTTGTTTTTCCTTAATGACTAACAAATGCTGGTCATCTTTTCATGAGTTTTTTGGCCACATGTCTATTATTTTCTTTGATGAACTATTTTTAACTCTTTTGCCCATTTTAAGAGCTAGGAGGGCGAGTTCTTTTTACTGAGTTACAAGAGTTATTTTCAATATATTCTGGATATGAATCACTTATCAGATATATGTGTTGAAAATACTGTCGGGCCTCCCCTGGTGGCACATGCTGTTGAGTGCAGTGCTGTGAAGCTGTCCGAATCCTCTGCAGCGCCGG